CTCTCTCTCTCTCTCTCTCTCTCTCTCTCTCTCTCTCTCTCTCTCTCTCTCTCTCTCTCTCTCTCTCTCTATACCAGGTACTGACCTGTGAAAGGTGGCACTTTGATGCAGGTACGGACACGCTGAAGACGAAGCTGGAGCAACGACGTTGCAGGTAAGTCTCAGGTAAGTCCCCTGGCCTCCGCCACAGTCTCTCTCCTCTCCCTGCGCTACTCTAAGTCCTATCAGCGCCCAGCGCTGGAAGACTACTGCTACACTGCCGTCATCCTAAGAGAACATCTACTCCATCCTCTACCAAATGCCGAACTGAGGCTGGACCCAGCTATATATAGCGCTGGGTCGGCCTCAGTGGCTGAGTCTGGCGCTAAAACTGAGGCTGGGCCTCGAAAGTTTGGCGCCCAAACTGAGGCTGAGCCTCAAGCGCCTGCTGAAACGGCGCAGCCTCTGAATCAGGGTCTGGCTCCAAAACCCGTGCCAGGGCCTGTAGCCGAAACGAGGCCTACAAGGCCTCTAACTGGTACCGATCCTACTCAGGCTAAAACTGGCCTACCGACCCTACGAGCCCCTACTGTGGGCCGAAACGATGCAGACCCTACACTCTACTAACCCCTAGCCTACCTGGTCGGGCTCTGCTGGGCCCGTGTGGAACTGAGTATGCCACAACCCTCCTAAGGGAGGATTTCTCATGGAAATCCGGGAAAATCGGGGACTGGGCCATACTCATCTCCCAGACTCAGCCTCGCAGAGCATACCGATTCGTCTCTCCATCCCCAATGCACCCAGCTACCTCTCCAAATTCTTCTCCTACCCGATCGCTAATCGCAACCTACAAGAATTAGAAATTATGAACAAAGAGCCCCGATGCGAGATGCTAGAATCCTTCCGACTGAGGAAAGTGAGAGTCACACAAAAGCCAAACCCTGGATACTCTTCCAACCTGATCTCAGCATCTCAGACCTCGAATTCGAACCGAAACAGTGGAGGAGCTGGAAACATGGAAAATCCGGGAGAACGAGAACGATATTCAAATACGATGTAAAGTTCGGATATGACCTAGGATTACAGACCGCAGACCGGGGGGATCCCAGACTCAAAGAAAAATGGAGGGAGATCCTGAACCTAGAACCCACGGACCCCATCTCCATCCCCTGGACGAAGTACCTGTCCATCAGACTGGTTAGGTTAGGATCCGAAGCATGCAGTGGCTTATAGCCCACACATCTCTGCCCGTCAACCAATGGCTCCGCAAGAGGAGGAAACATACTGATCCTGACAGCTCCGATTTATGCGCATTGTGCAGAGACAACAACCCACAGGCGACATACACCACTGCCTCTCGTACTGCACTGAAGCATAATGGATATGGAACAAGGTCCATAACCTACGGTCTCTCCTCTTTTACCCCCCCCCCCTCAAATGTCTCCTTGGAACATCCTTCTCCTATCCGACAGCACTAACACTCTCAAAGGTGGAAAGGCAATCTGGTTTCACCTTCTCAGGAAACTGGCTCTGTGGGCGATCTGGAAAAGGAGGTGTACCAAGACTATCGAGAGAACTGAGGTGGCAAAGGAAAAAAATGTGGGCCCTAATTCTGGGTATGACGGAAACTGAGATTCGGTACAGGTGGAGGGAGGCGACAGCAACAACGAAGGCCAGACCAGAAAGGCTAGCGGCGGCCGAGAGACGTACATTCATGAGAGACTGGCTGCTACAGGGGAAGATCGCAACAGTGACAGATAACAGATTGATCTGGAAGAAATGGCACAGCGAAACTCCAGCAAGGACGACGACCCAGTGATGGGAAAACTGAGTCCATAGTCTCAACAATATCGACAACTCGACTCCTTTCTTGTTTAGCACGAACTATATGACAGAATCACAATAGATTCTGAGAGGAAAAGAGGTAGGGCAAGATGACAGTCAATCTTCCTCCCGAACAGGAGTAATCAATGCTGGTCAGGGTTCCTTCAGCCAGACGGAAGGAAGAGTGCGAGTGTTCACCATGTATTCCAATTCTCGACTTACCCGGAAAGGAACCGGACTGACGCTCCCCAGAATGGATATGGAACCAGGACCATAAGGACTTGTTAGAGATGATTAAAAAAAAAAAAAGAAAAAAAAAAAAAAAGGAAGCTGAACCTCTCACTTTTCTTGTTTTGCAGATGTCCATTTGACAGGCCATGGTTTTATTAAATTATTTCTATCTTTTCATAATTTAGTATCTACTATAAGGAAGATACAAGTGGGTAGGGCAAGCAGCAATGTGTTTATTTCTATCTTTTCATAATTGAGTATTTACTACTTTGTTAAGAAAGATACACAAGGGGCAAGGCGCAAGGGGGCAATAACATCTAGCGACATGTACTCACTCATCCTGACAAACAACAAACCCGTATAGAGTCTATAGATGGGGTTTCAGATAGGAATGATTACCGAAGGGGAAGCCAGGGAGGGGTATATGAAGAGCACCTGTAGAAAATCGAAGTATCGCTTGCGCTGACCGTGCTTAAGGTAGTAGCTGAACACGTGGGAGTACCGGAATGCATCGCGCGACACTCGGATCTGTCGCATGGCGTCGTTCAAGAACCCTAGATCGCCTGGGTCCTCTAACGAGGACTTTATCGATGAGACAATTCTATCCATTAGCTGTTGAAGAGCCTGCCACTTTTCGCCGTTGTCCAACGCCATAAATTTGCTGTTGAGGTCATTACATACACAGTTCGCAAAGATTTCAGACAGTGTTCAGTCAGCTGCGCTGGGTCATCATCATAAATAAAAGGACGTGCATACCATTCGATATTTAATATTTATTTATTTTACTTCATTCCCACAGACACAGCTCGAGTACAGGGGGGCGATATAACGACGCGTCTGAATGTTCGATCAAATGCCCAGTTTGGATATGTAAACATGGGCCTCGCTCCACTACACAACACTCTACAGACATTTCGACGCTTTCTGGAGCCAATACATTCAAAGTGCTGGACTTGTGCGAATGCACATGGTCCAGAAATGCATCCAAATGCCTGTAGAGTGTTGTGTAGTGGAGCAAGGCCCAACTACATAGATTCTAAGGCCACATTCACGCTGGGACTTTTTTTTTTGGACCCGGTTCTGGTCGTAATTACTGTCAGATGCATCCACACCCAGCCGTAGTTGCCATCAGATACATCTACGAAAGTCCGTGTGATTATACGCTTACTTTTGTGGTTTGATGCACATCCCAGAAAGAAACTTTGCACATCCAAAAGATGGGGGAGACAAGACTTACCAAGTATGATTGCACTTACCATAAATTGTTTGACAGAGCGACGGTGAGTTTTACCACGCAGCATGACCCAGGGTCAGGGGTATTTACTATTTACTGTTTAATCTCTAGGGGTCTGTTTGAATATTTTCTGTTTGCGGAGATCTCCTAAGCCTTGTAGTTAGAAGGACCCTAAAGGGCCTAAACCCTAAACTACCAGTACATGGCCCCAGGCAACTGGAGAACCTTTTTTTCTAAAGGGCCCAGTGCCCAAGGCTGATATTACCAATAAGAAGATCGAGGGCGGGGTCCTTACAATCTACCCCGAGTAACTGAACCGATGCAACTGGAGAACTTTTTTTTAGCCTCTCCGAAAATTTAGGAGGCCGAGTGCCGTAGATAAAATGAATCGGCAGTGGGCGGCCTCCGAAAGGGGCCCGCGCCCGGTAGCTGGCATGTACTGGTGCTTTAAGAGGGGTCATTGGTCCAATTATTTGAATACCTAACTCGCCGAACAATCCTCCTGATGATGGAGAGTACTGGCGTTTGCTGGAACTGGTAGACGGTAGGCCAACACAAGTGCTCAACAGGAATCCCCACTTTCAACTCCCGAGTGACCGGTCGAAAACTGAATTAGGGTTTGGGAACTTTGGGGGTCAAATTTTATGATTTTACGGAGTCATTTTGCCGGTTTTAGGGGTCAAATTTTATGATTTTACGGAGTCATTTTGCCGGGTTGGGGGGTCTCCCGGGTTTGGAGGTCAAATTTTATGATTTTACGGAGTCATTTTGCCGAGTGTTAAGTCAACAACAAAAACAAAACAAAAAAAACATATTGGAGATCTCTAGGTCCAAGGGCCATTGTCCCTATTATCCCGCATTACCGATGCTCTCACTGTTTGCTGTTATCATCGTGCCGTGGTTTAGCCTGGTGCAACAGGCGCGACGGGTGTTGATTGCGTGTGCGTTTCACTACTCTTCTTTGTCCTCCTATGACACAGCAGGCCATAGCAAAAGTTGCGCTAACGCCGATAAGATATCATATCAAATTTTCAACATACAAAATTTTATTACGAATGAAATATTTTATGTACTATGTAATATTTTATGTACTATGTACAACTTGGCCGAGGGAGCTTAAGCCCTTTACGCAAGTCTGAAAAACTTTTGTCTCAGTCTCTCAGACATGATATTATTCAAGCCTTTTCAAGGAAGCCATAGTAAACATGATGCGTAGCTAAAAATAGACGCGGTTGTTTCAGTGGCTAGGACCACAAGGACATATCTTCTGTCTTCAAAAAAAAAAAAAAAAAAAAAAAAAAAACTGACAGCGCACTGCTGTGACTTTTGAGAATTATTTTCCTTGCATTCCTCTTTAGGAACGATTGGCACAACGGTATACAATGAATACAGGAAGGACAGGGTAATCAACTTATCACACTATTCGATAGGGTATAGTTTTTTCAATTATTTTTAACCTTTTGTTTTTTGTTAGGTGGGTCCTTAAACCACTAGTACTTAGGACCCCTCCCTTGTCGAGACTCGAGCGCATGCCAAAGGAAAAGCCGCCGGCGTGTTTTCTTTTTGAACAGGCACAGTGAGCCAGCCATTTAGGCAGGAGGTAGGCGGTGCCCCAAACGACGCAGGACGTTAAAAACCGTGCTGTCAGAGAAAAAATTGGCGGGAAACGTACTGGTTGGTGGTTTAAGGGTGTGTTAACGAGGTTCGGATAAAAATAAGGCTTAGACAAATTGCTTGACGCCACCACATGTACCCAACAGATCTAACCTCCTGTGCCACTGCCAACACTTACCTTTTTTTCTGCCCATCCATCTTATAGCTGGGGTCAAGGTCAAGGCTGCACTCATACAGGCGTCCCGGGAAGTGTGTCATCTAAGCCTAGAAAGGCGATGGAAACTCACTTGAAATGATGCTCCAGCCGTTTATTCGGAGTTCTAGAGAGCTGGATTGTTCCCTCTCGTGCCATGGCTTTCTTCTGCTCCTCCAAAGTCTTCTGTGCTTCATATCTGACACCGTATGTTTGCAATTGGAACAGCAAGGAGCCACAAAAACAAACAGAATTCATATACTCGCTTCCCCACCTGGAAGTATATAGGATCACCTTACACCCATTTAAAAAAAAAAAAAAAAAGTGCCGCCTAAAGCAGTGCGGTGCGCCTCTGAGGAATACACACACAATTACAGAGGACGACCCAGATATGGTACAACCCCATTTCAATCAGCGAGGAAGCCGATACTCTCTCACATCAATCTTTTGCCTTGCCGAGAATGTGCTGGCAAGGCAGCCCCACTCCTGTTCACTTTCACTCTGTCTCAACACATACGCATGCACGCCCACACACACACGGAAAAAGAAAAAGTATGCATGCCAGGTGGAAACAAAAGGGACAAAGAAACAAAAACAACAGTGCACTGTGCACATGCAGTGTGGAGATCTTGTGCATTACATGGACTTCCACATTGAGCACATGCATTGTTACACCTAGGTGCCTCCCCATTGTTACACCTAGGTGCCTCCCTCTCTCTCTCTCTCTCTCTCTCTCTCTCTCTCTCTCTCTCTCTCTCTCTCTCACACACACACACACACACACACACACACACATACAGGTGCTCACAAGAATGCAAAAGCTTGGGTACTGATGTCCGAGTGATGGCGTTTTCCTTTTTTATTGAATATTAGTCTGGCAGGCACTAGTAGCTCTCTCTCTCTCTCTCTCTCTCTCTCTCTCTCTCTCTCTCTCTCTCTCTCTCTCTCTCTCTCTCTCTCTCTCTCTCTGTGTGTGTGTGTGNGATTCAGAAACTAATGTGGCGTCTGCACAGCAGAACATGATGGCTTACCTCGCACACTTGGAGATTAAATTGACAACGTCACCGCAGAACTGCAGCTGTCTCTTATACACATCTAGATGTGTATAAGAGACAGGTGTGTGTGTGTGTGTGTGTGTGTGTGTGTGTGTGTGTGTGCGTGTGTCTTGCATGCACTCACAGAAAAGCCATCATTTTTGCCCACGACACTAACAAGGATAACGGCAATGACATCCCGAAAGAGCAGGAAGGGACTGTTAGTAGAAGAGGCCAGTGCAGACAGGAGAATACCTTCATCTCCCTTCACAGAAAGGCCTTAGATCTAGAGGCGAAGCTAAGGAACACCAGCATAGTATAGTGCGGTACCACAGGAGTGAAGAAGAGGCTGAACGTACATCTCCCAAACATCGATGAGGATGGAATTGAATGGTGATCGATAGTATTCCAGACCCGGACTGTACACGACTAGGTGGGGGAGCACATTTACGTCCCTCTTGGACCGAACCCTGACTATCAACACATCCGTTTTCTGAATGATGGGATATATAGCGTCAATCTGGACAGTGCCTGACCATACCATTACGCACTTCAACCGCAATGGCAGAACCTACCTGTGGTCGAGCGACCCCAACAAACAAAACTTCTCACCTAAAATAGTGTGGCATTACTTTCACAAGGAAACCAGCCAGAGGAGGACGTGGTATTATTGACCCCAAGCAAGAAACAAAAGCCCCACAAGTTAAGTGGAGTGTTAAGCTCCTGACCAGTCCGGGACTGGCATGGAATAAACTGGCTTTGGACAGTGTCAGGTGCTTAGCCCCGACATCTACACCTGCAAACATGTCCGGCCTATTCTGGGTAATGAATAAGGAATGGAGCCCTAATACAGGCCGGAAAAACCAACGAAGAGGGACTGCTCCAAGTGTAGCGAGGCCCCCGACACCTTGCCGGACTGCATTGCTGCGAAATATGGTGGGGAATCATGCTGAAGAAGGTAGGCAAACCCAAGTCTAAAGAGGAAGAAGTCTTGGGACAACCTCTCTTTGAGAATATCCTTGGGTGAGACACAAAAGTCACCACCCATTTAAGCCAAGGTGGAGGAGATGGTTATAATGGATTAACCACTGAGTTTGGAAAGTGAGCCATATATTTGGGATGGCGAGAAAAATGAGTGGCTTTCACGACAGCAGCTCGCTTCCCACCTTAATAAGGGATGCCACATGAAAACATACAAATTATCATCAATTGCATCCCTGAAGGATTGAAAGAGCTGTTGCGAGAACCCCTTGCAAGGTAATCCGGGGATTGAGGGGAAGTGCTGGTTCAGGAAACAGTACCCTAAACGGGCCTCCCAATTCTCCCATAAGCAGCAGGGATCAGACACACTGGCTGTGCTCACTTCTTTTCCAAGTACTTCTACAACGCATGGCTCCTCCTCCTTTCTGAACAACGATGTGGAACGAACAGTCCTCACTCCGACCGTGCTCCGAAAATTAATGTTGGGGGAACGGCCGAAAACAGTCGTCAGAATGGATATGGCAATTCAAAGAGACTTGGATGCTCACTTCTTTTCCAAGTACTTCTACAGCGCATGGCTCCTCCTCCTTTCTGAACAACGATGTGGAACGAACAGTCCTCACTCCGATCGTGTTCTGAAAATTAATGTTGGGGGAATGGCCGAAAACAGTCGTCAGAATGGATACTGCAATTCAAAGAGACTTGGAATTCGATCAGGCAGAACGGTCATGCACACCAGGCAAAAGCAAGAATATTTGAACGACTGTCCACATTCATGAATACACAGTCAAACTGGGATAGGATACAACTTACTTCTTCTTATGACTAAGGATCCTGATCCCACAATTAAGAATAGATGGCTGAAGTTAATTGGTCAGATGCCAATCAGATATCGCAAATACCAGGTCTTCTGAATTGTGCTAATCAGATATTGGAAAAAATTCAAAACAATACGGCCGGTCAAAGTCAGAAGCCTCCAATGATTGTCCTTCGGGACATCCGTTAAAATTGGAACGATACAGAGAAGATTAGCATGGCCCCTGCGCAAGGATGACACGCATAAATCGAGAAGCCTCCAATGACTCATAGCCTACGAGTCTCGGCTCTATCAGTCAACCAGTGGCTGCATATCTGAAGAAGGAAGAACGATCCAAGCAGCTCAGACTTACGAGTGGTTTGCTCGGACAATGAACCGGAAGACATGATACACTGTTTGATACGTTGCAGAGAGGCGAGGGAGTACTGGGCCAGAGCATCCGGCCTTTGGGACTCCCTTTTTTCCCCACTCCCTTCCCTGAACACCCCATCCAACTCCGATGGACTAACTAACATCCCTCTACCCAGTTCCGCAAGCCAGAGAGGATCTGATTTGGCATGATCAGAAAGGTGCCACTTTGGTCGATATAGAAGCAAAGGTGCTGCAGAACTCTTGAAGGCCTCTCCTCTCCAAGAGAAAGCGTCTGGGCGGCAACAAGGTCATTGATTCAGACCCGAGATTCTGTGCAAGTGGGAGAAAACAAAGCATTCTATGCCGGACGACATGGACCTGCCCCAGAAAATCAAAGCGGGATTTGCAAGGGTATGGCCAGTGGGAGGTAAGGTAGCGGACACAAGGGGCTCCAGTATATGCCGGAAAGATTGGCACAATTCAGAAGCGAGGCTCATAAGACAGAGGTCCAACTCAGGAGACTTGCAGGACCCAAAACAGGCCACATAAGCCGAAGGTATGACAAAGTGGAGGAGACCGTCAAATCCTTTCTTGGTTTCACGTTAAATCTGGCAAGTTTGGGTAAACACACTCGAGAGGAAAGGTAGAGGGAAGGCAAGCTGACAGTTAATCCTCCACAGTCCAGACAAATCTGGGCAATCAATTCTGTGTTCAGGGGTCCTTCGGCAAAACGGAAGGAAGTATGAGGGTGTTCTTACTGTATTCTTCTGACTTGCCGCCGAAGTTTGCCGGTGGAATAGGAACCGGACCAATGCTCCCCAGAATAGATACGGAACCAGAGCCATAAAAACCTGCTAAAAAAAATAAAATAAAATGGAAATATACACTACCTGGTTGAATACGGCCGACCGCGTAACCAACCACGAAAACAAACCACGCCACGCCAACACCAACCCAAAAAAAAAAACAGTCGTAAACTTGTATTCGAACATTGGCCGCCCGCAGGCAACCCGACTCGACCCCCCGGCCTCACCGAACCGGCACGCAGTCCGCCCTTCGGCCTACCACGAGTCCCACACCAGGGAACCGGGTCTCGCGCGGGACCGTCACGCGAGACCCGCGTTTTCCTTTATATGTATAGAGATAGAGACAAGCAAAAAGTTTAGCACTGTTCATTATCATATACCCAGTGTCTGTGGCATAAATTGTATTCGTATATAGTATATCGGACTATATCCTAATGGCTGTCATTGACCAAGGGTTTAATGGAAGGGTTGGCTCCTCACTTCGTACACTTGAAATAGCCACCTGTCTTTTCCCCATGTTCACTCCAAGGCCGAAGGCAGACCCTGAAACGCCGATCACAATCCACAAAATCATTCCAAAAAAAATAAGCCACATGCATTCAGAAATGCCCAAGGGACAAAACAATGCAGACACACATTATGCTGTACCAAACCTCAGGCATTTTGTCAGACACAGATGTACAGAAACAAGTACAGAGACAGAAAATCCAACATAGGAACGCACAAATGCACATCCTCCGCACATCTGGTACAATGCACAACACATCCAGCATAAGCACGAACATCCAAGGTTACTAAGAAATGCAAACATCCATACGAACAAAAGCGTGGAAAAAGGTCATAATATGATAATAGACACGTTTATAATCACAAACGCACAGATGATAAACATGGAACACAAATCTGTAGACAAAGCCACAATTCCATGGCGACACAGACATGCAACAACAAGCACCACACCAAACACACACAATCAGACAAATCTACAAATGCTGAACAGAAAAGAACAGCAGCATCGTTCTATGACAGAACAGCCCCCGAACACACGCACACACACACACACACACACACACACACACACACACACACACACACACACACACACACACACACACACACAAACACACACACACACACACAAAGAACAGCCCCCGAACACACACACACACACACACGCACACACACACAAAGAACAGCCCCCGAACACACACACACACACACACACACACACACACACACACACACACAACATTGTGGAGCAGGCAAGCAGAGAAGTAATAAACAGTGAGCCAGAAGCCTGATGGCAAAAGGAGGACCCGAAAAAGAACGGTAGGCAAAACAGAGACAACAGCCAGTGCACTGATCTGCAAGACGTACAAACCAAGTTACCAAACTGATGCAAAGTTGCAAACTGACTGGATCTTCTGCAAAGTCATGCCTGAGTCTGGAACTACTACTCCGTTGCTGTACTGATTGGATGGAGGCAAGAAGAGGTCTTTCATAATCAAAAGACTTCAGTGTTGTGTGTGTTCTCCTATAGGTGTGATCTTGTCCTTCTTAGTTGGGCCCTCGGTCGATATACTCATGCGCCCGATCAGTGAGCACATGTTGGTCATGAATCAATTTCTCACAGTCTCACGGGCATGATCCTTGCACTGTGTCTGCTGCAAAGAATCAGGTTGGAGTGCATCATTATCTTACACTTGAGATGCCACACGAATCGGCATGACAACGAGGGTTTGTCAGTAATATACCCCCAAAACAAGGAGTGGGAGCTCAACAACTTATTTCGGCTTGTTCGGCATTCCTGTCACAGCTTTCTAGAATCATATGAGAAGATTCAGCAGAGGAAAATAACAGCTTGCCAGAGCGTTCTTTTCAACAGCAATTCTTTTCTGCAGCGGCTGCCTCCCTGGTATCATGTTTTATGCGATTGTGACACTGTTTGCCCAATCCTCTGCCAGCTTTCAAAAGGTAAATAAAGGCATACTTGCACTGTGACTTCTCATGATATATATCTGACTGCAGTTATGGCCACAGAATGCAGATGAGGTAGTACCAGCGTGAGTACACCCTAAATTCAGCAGCCTCCCCCAAATGAACAACCACAGCAACCATTCTGATACTGGAAAAAGGGGGGAGAGGGGGGGAGAGAGGGGGAGAGGGGGAGAGAGGGGGGGGAGGCAACGATGACGAAGAACTTTTCTAGTGCCACAAGCAATTGATTAAGTACAGGACTGAATAAGCGAGACTCAGGGAGGCCAGCAACCTTAAACCAGTGAAACAGCAAGAGGGTATGCCCACCCCAAAGCATTGGACTCTAGAGTCGAGAGTGAATGCCATCTCACCAGCAGAATTGATGTTGACAAAGGGTACAGGTCATATGATTGCAGCCTTTGTCTCGCTGGATGACTGCTTCGCAATTTGGGCAAGTCTGTGCATTTTTCAATATCCAATTAGCAGCTTCTATCTCTTCCCTGTTCCTGAGTGCTTCATGCAGTCTAGTCCATTCTTCCACCTGCATTCAAGTCAAGCAGAGAAAAGTAAACAATAGCCAGGGGTAACAAATAACAGATACAGTAAGACAATCCCTACCACCCTTCAATGCTATAGCCTCCCCCAGAGGTGAGGCTGCCACAGATCCATGTGTAATTCAGATGGCAAGCATCAGATGGATATGGAACCGCACTGGACAGGGCCTGTGCCAAATATGGTGGGAAACCTGTCTTCAGTGAAATGAAATAAGATGCTCATCATAATGCGGTTTGAAAGCCTGCGTGCTCAGCAGCATTCGTCATTTTCTTCAGTGGCCAGACGGATGAAACCTTAGAAGCTAGAACAAGTCAAGGTCCGCCACGAGCAATAGCTGCAGCTGAGGGGGACCCAAGAGGTCTCTCTCTCTCTCTCTCTCTCTCTCTCTCTCTCTCTCTCTCTCTCTCTCTCTCTCTCTCTCTCTGTCTGTCTGTCTTGCGCAAACACACCTGCTTGCTGCATGTGGGTTGTCACTCAGAGACTATTTCTCGTTCTCTCAAGAAAGGGTTTATGGCGTATACGAGAGCAGAACGAGGGACTCACGGAGGTGAAGAAGAATGGGATGGTGATAGGATGGGATTGAGGCAGGGTGGAAGGGATTGGATGGGGAGGGGGGTGTGACGAAGAGGGATCAGAATGGGGTTGCGAAAGACATGATGACAAGGGAGAGGGATGTCATTGGGAGGATTGGGATCCAGTGGGATCTTGCACTGGTTCATGAGATAAGGATGAACAAGGTAGCAATGGAGAGGATGAAGAGCGATCCGGACGGAGTGATCAGGCCGGCCGGATAGCGGAGGTGGAGAGGAACAGGATGGGGAAGGTGGTAATAGGGGTGAAAGTGAGACGGAATGGCATGGGGGATTGACAGGTGATGGGATGGGACGAGAAGGTGATGCAGTAGGAGGACAAGGGGATAGGATGACGACGGATTGGGATGTGGTTGGCTGAGGAGGAGGAAATAGGAATCACAGGATGAGATGTGGTTGGGTGGGCTGAGGATCAAATGAAGTGGTATTGGGATCGGGTGCGATGTTACTTCTGTCACGTTCTGTGAGCTGTGCCAAAGGTTGGGGAGGGGTCAGTGGAGGAGGGCCCGGGATGAACAAGGATGATGACGGGATTGGGCAGACCGAGGCCGGTAAGAGCGCGATCTAACCCCAATGACGAACATGTGTAGCACCAGGATCCCTGTATGAAAGGCAGCTGGCTGGACCAAGGAGGTCAAGCTGTCGTCTAAAAGGGAATTTAATCAAGCAGGATACTGATCGAAGCCAGCTAGAATGATCAGATCAGTTCCAGAGGGATCGCAATGAGGAGTCTAGGCAGCGGTTCCCACTCTTCGGACTAGCCTCGCAGAGCTGCAGGTGCGTTCCCCGCCTGCCACCCTCAGGCTCACGTGGGAGACCCAGGGCATTGGGAAAATGACATTGGAGGTGCTGATGGTTGTGTGAGAGAGAGAGAGAGAGAGAGAGAGAGAGAGAGAGAGAGAGAGAGAGAGAGAGAGAGAGAGAGAGAGAGAGAGAGAGAG